CGGTTCCCGCTAAGGGCATGTACCTCGGTTGCAGTTTGTCCCCGGCCCTGGTTGGTTGTGCTGGTGGCGACCACTCGATGTGTCCCTTTCACATCGATGTTTCTCTCTTTCTCTGTTCCTCTCTCTCCCTCCCACTCTATCTGAACAAAGAATGGAAAAATGTCCTCGGGTGAGGATGATAAAAAATATATATATATATATTTTTTTTGGCCCTGGCCAGTGTGGCTTAGTGATAAGAACATCGCCCATGGACCAAAGAGTCCCGGGTTCAGTTCCAGCCAAAGGCACATACCTCTGTTTCGGTTCGCCCCAAACCGAACCATGTGTGGGTGGCAACCAATCAATGTGTCTCTCTCTTCCTTTCTCTCTCCCTCCAGCTCTATCTGAAGATTAATGTAAAAGTATCCTTGGGTGAGGATCAAAAAAAATATATATGTATTTTGGTCGTTTGATAACCAAGTATATATTTCTTGTAAATCACAATATCACAGTCTGCACCTGATCTTCAAACACATTCTCGTATAGAAAACAGTCATAAAGGTCAACAGATACTGGTGCGTCCTTTGAGTCATATTCAGTTATTAATAACTGTCCAGCCTATTATCACATTATAAGGTGATGTTTCCCAGGGCAAGTTCCCTCAGGTGTGTAGGCTTCTATTCCAGCTTGTCGGGTTCTCAAAGGTACACTGATTTCAAATGTATTTAGCTTCACCCTTTCAGGTGTTGGGGAGTAAAAATTTTTGTTTACTCTTCTAGGGTCTTCTGGTTGGTCTAATAATCAAATTGACATGAGACAGATTAGCAGGAGAAATACAGGTTAAAGTTTAACATGTATACTTCCTGTATATGTGGGAGAGACGCAAGAAAACTGAGTAACTCGCCAAAATGGGGGAAGCCACATCCTTCAGCTACAGACAGAAGATGTTTGGGGAGGTTACCAGGAAAAGCAGAGAGGGAGTGAGAGAAGGAACAGTGAGAGAGGAGTGAGACAGTAGGAGGAGGAAGTGAGAGAGGGAGGAGAAGAGAGAATAGACATAGGGAGAGAGAAGAGGAGAGAATGAGGAGAAAGAGGGAAAGAGGAGAGAGAGAGGCAAGAGGTAGAGACAAAGAGGAGAAACGGGCCGGAGAAGGAGAGCTGAGTGAGAGTGGAGAGAGAACACAGGATTGAGAAAGGGAGAGAGGTTTGAGTGAGGAGTACAGTGGAGAGAGTAGAGAGGGGGGATGAGTGAGAGGTTGAGAGGGAGGAGAGTAGAGAAAAGGGAGGAGTGAGAAAAAGAGTGAAATAGGTTAGAGAGAAAGGAGTGAGAGAGTAAGGAGGCAGGAGTGGGAGGAGGGAAGAGGGAGAGAAGGGGAGATAGAGAGGAGTAGAGGGACAGGTCGGAGGGGTGAGAGAATAGACAGGGCAAAGTGAGAGAGGGTAGAGAGTGAGGGGGAAGAGAGTCTGAGACTGGAGTGACCGAGAGCAGAGAGAAGGGACCGAGACAGTGAGTGGGGGGACTGGGAGAGAGGGTGTGAGAAAGAGGATTGAGGGGAGAGGGAAAGGATGAGCGGGAGGAGAGAGAATGAGAGTAGGAAAGATAGAAGAGAGGGGATAGGACAAAATAGAGGGAGGAATGAGACAGAAAGAGATTGAGAGAGTGAAGGATCAGGAAGGGAGAGGACAGAGAGACAGAGAGTGAGGGGTTAGAGGTAGAAGAGGGGGGAAACAGAGAGAAAGAGGAGAGACAGAGTAGCCAGAGAGGGTAGAGAAGGGAGTCAGACAACAAAGAGATAGAGAGAGGTGTGAGAGTGAGGGAGAGGAGAGAGAAGAGAAAGAGGTTGAATAGGAAGTGATGGAGGACAGAGAGAAGCAGGGAATGAGGAGAGTAAGATACAGGACTGATGGAGTCAAAGACAGAGTGTGATGGGTCGTGACAGAGAGAAAGGGGTATGACAGAAATGGAGAACATGTACAGAGAACAGATAGCAAGAGAAATGGAGGGGGAGAAAGAGGAGGGGCCCTGGGGGAGAGAGTTTAGAGGGACCTAGAGAGAGTTGAGAGGGGGATGAGAGAGTCTAGAGAGGAGCAACTGCATCTGAAGAAGCAGTCAGAATGGTAGCAGACTGTGATAAACAGTGGAAAGGGTAATGACAGTATTGAGAAGAGCCATAGAGAAAGTCTGGAAGGCCCTGGCCGGTTTGGCTCAGCGGTTAGAGCGTCGGCCTGCGGTCCTGAGAGACCCAGGTTCGGTTCCCGCTAAGGGCGCATACCTCGGTTGCAGTTTGTCCCCGGCCCTGGTTGGTTGTGCGGGTGGCAGCCACTCGATGTGTCCCTTCACATCGATGTTTCTCTCTCTCTCTCTCTCTGTTCCTCTCTCTCCCTCCCACTCTACCTGAACAAAAAATGGAAAAATGTCCTCGGGTGAGGATAAAAAAAAAAAGAGAGAGAAAGTCTGGAAGGCAGGAATACAATGGAGACAGAGACAGGGTGCAAGAGAGTTGATAGGGCACTGAGGGCACTGAGAGAAGCAGTAGTGAAAGTCAAGAGGGGGTGAGAGAATGCAGAGAGAGAATACAGATTGTGAGAGTACAGATGGTATGTGAGAGTATGAAGAGGAGCTGTGTAGAGAGACTAGAGGTGGAGTAAGAGATGGAGCGGAGGAGGAGAGAGTCTAGAGAGGGAAGAAGAGATGGAGCGGAGGAGGAAGTAGAGAAAGCCGAGGGAGACAGTGGGAAGTAGTGAGAGGCAGGAGAGTGCCTAGAATGAGAGAGTTGAGAAAGTAGAGAGGGTAGAGCATGAGGAGAGTGCGACTGGAACAGGGGGTGGCAGAGAGGAGAGAGAATTTTGGGAGAGAGTGGAGGGAAAGGAGTGAGAAGAGGCAGGAGTAGATGTGGGGGGTCAGAGAGATAGGTCCAGTACTGGGAACCGAGTGAATATAAGATAGAGGGAGAGAAAAGGGCGAACAAGGATGAGGAAAGGGGTATGGGGAGAAGAGAGAGGAAGAGATGGAGATAGTGATGGTCTGTGAGGGAGGCAGGTGAGTTAATGGTGGAGTTGGATTGGAGAAGTGAGACGGATGGCAGAGTTAGCTAGAGGTGGAGGTGGGAGAGCGAGGGATCTGGTCAGAGAAACCAGAGAGAGTGAAAGAGTGTCTGGGGGCGCTGGGGGTGTGTTGGAGCTGGAAAGAGTAGAGAGGAGTCAGAGCTAAGAACAGTCGTGAGAGCAAATGTTTGAGGGAGAAAGTGTAGAGGGGATCTGGAGACAGTGGGGAGGGAGGGAGTTGAGGGATGGAGGTGAAGTGAGAGTGAGGTGAGACAGGGAGAACAGGAGGACTGAGAGGAGGGACAGACAGGAGTGGAAAGTAGAAAGGGAGGCATGTGAGAGACGTAGGAGAGACAGAGAGATGTGGAGGGAAGTGAGAGAGCCAGTGCAAAGAGAAAGCAGAGAAGAGTAGGAGAGGGAGCAGAGGGTAGGGAGAGGAGGAGTGATCACGAGGGAGAGTTAGAGCAAAAGGAAAATTGGAAACGAGACTGGAGTGGGTGGAGAGAGAGAAGAGAGAGAAAATGTATGAAACCGGGTAGAAAGGTAATAGGGGATAGAGGACTGGAGAATAGAGAGGTTGTTGAGAGAGGGAGGAGAGAGTCGAGAGGGGAGTGAATAGGACATGGTGTCAGAGTGTAGAGAGGAGAGATGGAGTGAGACACAGGATTGAGAGAGAGGGAGAGTGGAGACTGACTACAGAGAGAAGGTGAAGAGGTGTGAGGGGGGACACAGAAATGTGGAGAGGAGAGAGGGAGGGCGGGTTGATGGGAGTGAGAACAACATGTGGGAGCGGGAGCAGTCGGAGAGAGAGGGGTGAGAGAGGGGTACAGAGATCAGTGATAGAGAGGAGATGGGGAGAGACAGAGGAGTCAGGAGGGAAAGGGGTTAGAAGGGCGAGTGAAGGAATGTTGAGCTACCAGAGCTTCCCGGTTTTCTCCCATGGTCCCACTCTCCCAGTTTTCCATGTGTTTTCCAGCCCAGAGGTTTCTGGGAACCCTGTGCCTATGTATTTTTATGGAGGTTTATTACATAATGGTGATTGATAACATCATTTACCATGCTGCTGTCACACTCCAACCCCTCTCCTGTATCCAGAGGTCACAGAGTGGGGCCGGAAGTTCCAACCCTGGGATCACAGGGTAGGTCTACTGTTGACCAACCCCCGTCCTTACATAATTCCCAAAAGTCACTTTATTAATATAACAAAAAGCTTTATCACTTTATCACTCTCAATTCTTATTAACATAATCTAGAGGTTGGGAAGTGTGAGCCAGGATCTGTGGACCAAGGCTTAATATATTTCTTATAGATCATATCATAGAAAGTTTGATTTATTTTTTAGTATTGTCTAGTTTGACACCACTAAATCAGTACCTGTGTGAACATCACACTGCCTTAGTGACAGCACCTACTGCATAGCAGTGTTTCTGTAGTTTGTCCTGTACACATCTTTAAAGGAGATGCCAGGCTCTGTTCATCTTAATACCTGTCCAAGGGGACAGTGCCAGAGACATGGAGAATCTGCATACATGCTCTAACCACTGTGGAAATATTTTTGATAAAATACAATGAAGATGTACAGTTGGTGTCATTTGTAAATTTCCATGGTAAATGACTCTTACAACAATATGGTAAGAATAACTTTCCAGCCCTGGCCGGTTTGGCTCAGCGGTTAGAGCATCCGCCTGCGGTCCGGAGAGACCCGGGTTCGGTTCTCGCTAAGGGCATGTACCTCGGTTGCAGTTTGTCCCCGGCCCTGGTTGGTCGTGCGGGTGGCAGCCACTCGATGTGTCCCTTTCACATCGATGTTTCCCTCTCTCTCTCTCTTCCTCTCTCTCCCTCCCACTCTATCTGTGCAAAAAATGGAAAAATGTCCTCGGGTGAGGATTAAAAAAAAAAAAGAATAACTTTCCATACATCCTTTCTGTATCACCAAATGCTCATCATCCAGAATGAATAGCAATGTGCCATTGCAGGGATCAGTCTCGTTCACGGATGTGACTGTGGACTTCACCCAGGAGGAGTGGGAGCAACTGGACCCGTCTCAGAGGATCCTGTACATGGATGTGATGCTGGAGAACTATAGCAACTTACTGTCAGTGGGTAAGGACAGTTTTGAGGCGTAACTCAGTGTGTACCTAGCAGCGTTTCTGTCCTTTCTCCGTTACCAGGAATCATGAGCTTCTGAATTACTAAGCGGTTTTGGCCTCAAGCTTCAGGTGCTAAAGCTGAGAGATAGTGAAGACTCTGAAGTCCAGGCAGTTAGGATCTGCGTTCCATCAGCACGTTCTCTGATATTATCAAACTGGATGTGATTTTTATGTGGGAGCAACAAGAGCTGCGGCTAGCAAAGTTAGAACTGCCAGTTGAGAACTTTCAAGGGAAGCTGTGCAAGGAGGGAAGGAGAAGCAGAAGCCACTAGGAATAATATCCCAAGGATTATGGAGTTGATACCTTTGAAATATCGTTAGCACTTATATTTTTCAAATCTCTAAACCTTTAGAGATGGCTGCAAACAGATGACCCGTGTACCTCAGATGTCTGAATATTTTATATTTTAGCTCATGGTCATTGACAGAGTGGGCTCAAGGGAAATAAACTGTTTTCAGTACAGGAGTGACACTGTAGTCCTGAACACAGATGGCCACAGGGTCACAGAGCCAGGAATGGCCAGTAATGGACAGAGGAAAGTAAAGGTTACTCAAGGCCTAAGTGGAGGCTGGGCAATCTGATCCTTAAGATCCCTTCTAATAAAAGTAGGGACAAGACTGATTTGGGGAAGAAAATAAGCAAAAGGAAAAAAATAAAATAAAAATGAAAACATTTTCTCTCCAACAACTTCAATAGAAAAAAAAGCCATGAAACCACCAATAGCATTGAATCTATCAAAAGGATCTTCGATCCTTGGATCAATTTTATATTTCCTACAGTATATATGACTTTCTGGACCTTGCCATTCATTTGCAAAGTCTTACTTTAGAGCAGCAATTTTCAACCTTTTTCATCTCATAGCACACACAGACTACAAACATTCTGCAGCACACCAAAAAATGTATTTTTTGCCAATTCGACAAAAAAATAGGTATAATTTTGATTCATTCACACAGGAAGGCTGTTGTCATTTTTTTTATTTGACAATCTAAGGGGAAAGCCATCAGATATTATTGCATGTTTTGAAATTCTTGTGGCCGACCAGAGTGCTGCACCACAGTGGTTGAAAATTGCTGCTTTGGAGGTTCGGAGCTCTGCGATGAGGTCCTCTGCAGAAGTGTGAGAAATGCTTCCCTGAGGAAGGGAAGCGGTGGAGAGAGCCTAGCAGCATGCAAACGAGGTGCTAGTCCGACCACAGTAATTCAGAGTCAGAGTTTGGGTTGCTAAACTCAGATCTGCCTGTGTCTTTCCCTTTAACATCTTCATCTCCTTATTTTCTTGGTCTCTGCTAACTGTTGAGTGTCTGTGAGGACATAATCTCCGTCATCCCTGGAACTACCAACCTTCCTACAGCATGTTTCCTGTTTGCTGCCCTTTGGTTTTGTTTCACTTTACCCCCTTTTGAAGGTCACTTTGTAATCTGGCAATGCTGCTTGTGTGCATGGTCAGTTTCTACTTTCTTTTTTTGCCACACGCCCCCCCCCCTTTTTCTTTCAAAGTTTAAGAGCCAGGAAAAATTTGCACTGGGGACTACTTAAAAAAGTAGCCCTATGATGGGACATTTGTGGAGGCGTCACATTCTGTAACGTTCCCGTGAAAGGTTGACAGAATATACTCGTGTGCTCTTTCCTAGAGGTGTGGAAGGCCGATGGCCAGGTGGAGAGGGAGCACAGTGACCCAGAGGAGCAGGCAAGGCCATTTATAATCTTTAAGAACCAAACCCCAATTGAGGAAAGAAGTGACCTCTTTGAAAAATCATTCAATCTGAGCACAGACTTTGTTTCTTTAAGACAAGTACCGTATAAATATGACTTATATGAAAAAACTTTGAAATATAGTTCAGACTTACTTAACGGTAATAGCTATATAAGGAAGCAAGCTGACGAGTATAATGGATTTGGAAAAGCACTTATCTATGTAAAGCAAGAGAAAACCCATACTGGAATGGAATACACTGACTATAACAAAAGTGGAAAAGCCTTTGGCCATAAAGAAGCCATATTTAAACATCAGAAAATTAGAAATTTGATACAACCTTTCATTTGTAATTACTGTGACAAGGCTTTCTCCTTTAAGTCACTCCTCATTAGTCATAAGAGAATACATACTGGAGAAAAACCTTATGAATGTAATGTGTGTAAGAAAACCTTCTCCCATAAGGCAAACCTCATTAAGCATCAGAGAATTCATACCGGGGAGAAACCCTTTGAATGTCTTGAATGTGGAAAAGCTTTCACCCACCAGTCAAACCTCATTGTGCACCAGAGAGCACATATGGAGAAGAAGCCATATGAATGCAGCGAATGTGGCAAGACATTTGCTCAGAAGTTTGAACTTACTACACACCAGAGAATTCATACAGGGGAGCGACCCTATGAGTGTAATGAATGTGCAAAAACCTTCTTCAAGAAATCAAACCTCATTATACATCAGAAAATTCACACGGGGGAGAAACGCTACGAGTGCAGCGAATGTGGGAAATCCTTTATCCAGAACTCACAACTCATTATACATATGAGAACTCACACAGGGGAGAAACCCTATGAGTGTACGGAATGCGGCAAAACATTCAGCCAGCGGTCGACTCTTAGGTTACACTTGCGAATCCATACAGGAGAGAAACCATATGAGTGTTCTCAGTGTGGGAAGGCCTTCAGCAGGAAGTCCCGACTCAGTGTCCATCTAAGGGTTCATCTAGGGGACAAACCCTGAGACTGCACCAGGTCGAGCTGTGCAAAATCCTTCTACCAGAACCCTTCCAGTGGATGAGAAACCTGCGGAGGTACTGAAGGAGCATGGGAATACCTGCCGAGATACCATCTCTCAACTCAGAAATGTAAAAATAGGGTCCCCTAAGAACAACAATATACTGAAAGGTAGATATGATACCCAGTGAAAGAATACATATCAGAATATATCCAATTGTAAATAGACATACTTAACTATATTACAATGAGCTTTTTAAAATCTTGAATGAATTATTTGAGAATGAAATAATCTAGGAAGCAGCACAAAGGATCTACAGACAGTACCTAGGAATTTGGTGGTTGTGTGTGATTATGCCACAGAAATATATTTTAGATCTGCACATGCAAATTTAACAGTCACTGGAAGTTTGAAATTCTTGTCCTCTGTAATAATTAGGACACATCAAACAGGATTTTTCATATTAAATATCACATGTGCTTTTCTAGTATCTTTCCAGTTCAGTATGCATTCCAAATGAAATACATCTTAAAGTAGCAGGTAACATGCTTTCTCCTACGCTTGCTGGCACATACACATTGGTATGGTCGTTGTTAATGAGCTGCCTCTTAATGAATGGAAGACATGTTGAAGTTTTAACTTGCTCTGGGCTTGATTGTCTAGGAGCATTACTTACATAAATATGCAAATATGAGATAATTAAGAGGAAGTTTGGAGAGTAAAAGAAGGCAGCTGTGGACTGTATTACTCAGTATGCACCACAGATAGAAATGGGCTACAGAGAATCCACATCCATCATGCTAGTGGGGTGTTAATATACAAATGCATGTCAATTACCAAAATGTTGAATAACCCAGAAACCACCTGTGTTTTTGTGTTTTGTTTCTGTTAATATTTTATGAATTGTCTTGTAAAAAATGATAGGATGTGTATGTAGTGCACAAATATGTTAGTTACCTTTCAGAAACTTTAAAGGGAAAATAATTTATTTTAAGAAGCTGTCACATGTATGTTACTTTATGAAGTTTCCATGTGCATAATACACTTCACAAATAAATTTTTGCAGTATTCTGTTTGGAAGAGGCACTTCTGTTTCCTTGAGTTGCACTATAATCAACCTAAAGCATTTCCCTTTGGAATCTGTCTTAGTATAACTTAGACCTTTTCTTTAAAGGTTCACAAGCATTTTTATAAATTACACTGTTCAGTGATCTCTCCATATATTGTTTCATCTACAAACATGTATCTTTTCTGTATAACTCAAAGATACATTTTAGGCTTGATTTCAGATTCACAGGTTCCTCCTTTTCCTGTCAATCACAAATCATGCATTAGCATTGTAAATGGCAACCATAACCAGCTTTTTAAAATTAATTTTTGAAGACCATTGACATGTTGTGACTATGTATGAATATGAGTGACATTCTGAACAAATTTACTGGAATATCCATAGTCCAGTAAATCTTTAAGTTGCCATCTTATCTACTACTAACAGCAAGGATGCAGAGGAGAAGGTTAATGTCACCCTCTGCTATTAGAGTGTAAATTGTGACAGCCTCCTTGGAAATCACTGTGACTCTTTTAACATTAAGAATATACATACTCTTCAACCCAGCAGTCTTATGTTTGGGAACCTATCCCAAAGAAAAAATGAAAGTGGCAGTACTTAAGATTATATTTATCAAAGTATATTTTATTTTTGGTAAGGACAAAAGGAAACACTGTAAATGACTATCAGTAAGGGAAAGATTGAATAAACTGTAGTACAAACCTACTATGGTTGATTGATAGTATTCCACAGAAAAGAATGTAGGAGCAACACCTCCAGGTCAGATGAGAACAGCAAGAGGAGAGAGTATAGACCAAACTTTGTAAAATAAAGATCTAAGAACCTTGTGTGTGTGTGTGTATTTGTGACTTTATGGACTTGAAGAATAGAATTCTAAGTAAAAAATATAATTGCCATTAATTCCAGTAGAAAAATTTCCACGCATTTCATAGTCCCTAAATTAACATTCATTTATACTAAAACAACACCATAACCCTTTAAAATGGACAGCTTGTTAAATAGCATTAGTTAACACAGCACAGCATCAGGCAGGCTCTAGCTGTCACGGCTGTTTTACGCTTAAGCCTGTGATTTCAACAAACATGTATTTGACATTAGTGTTCACACCATGGAAACCTTATATTTAAAAAGAGGAAAAATAGCAAAGACAAAAAATTGCAAGGTATGCCAAAGTTATAAATTACAAATGCTTTGAGAACACATACCCACCTTTACAGTGGCAAAGGTGATCATAGGGATGACTGTTCTCTCATGAGCTGTTTGCTCCCAGGGCCCTGGAAATCCAGACCAGAACTTCTGATTTTTTTTTAAATGTCTTGTCATCATAAACCAACGTGATCTTAGGTGAAATTCCTTCTAAAGACAGATTCTATGGCCTGACCATAGGACTGTACTTCATTTATCCTCAGCAAGCTGGGAGGGCAGGGATTACGCATTACTTGGAGCCCGCGGGCCGGGAGGTAGTGCAGATTGCACAAGAAAACCCAGCTGTTAGGGTGTTTCCAGACTCACACCTCTGCCTGTCTGACCCCAAAGCCCACACCCACTGCACTTGGCCCTGTGACCTGTTCTTATTCCACTGATATTTTCATTATGGAGATTTTCTTCTATTTTTATACTTATTTTTAATAACCAAAGTACTTGAATAGTTTTACTTTTTCACATTGTTTTATGCTTTATAAATCTCATGTGGATCAGTCTAATTGGCAACACTACTGTTGGTAAGTCTGAGGACTCGTCAGTCATATGGGAGATTAGGTGACAGCGTTCTAGGCAAGAGGCTCAAAACTTGCAAAGACACGAAATGATTGGTGCCAGGTCCTCGGGGTGGAGGGTTTAGTGGGATGCAGCTGAAGGTTCGGTCCCAGCCACCCCTGCCGTCTCCCCTGTCACAGTGGCCACCCTGGGCTGCAGTGTCATTCTCTTCAGCTGAGGAACCAACACAGAGCCCTGTTCACCACCCACCCTCAGGCAGTTGGTCGGGAAAGTCAGGAGCCTTGTTGTGTTCAACCGATTAGCTGACTGTCCTATCAAGTCCTGCTGGCCAAAGTGCAGTGGATTTTGGGACTTGGTCTCCACTCAACAGTCTTCTGACTACACCCAGTCTGTGCTTTGGTGTTTATTTTTTTATCCTCACCCAAGGATATTTTTACATTTATCTCCAGATAGAGTGGGAGGAGGTGAGGGAAGAGAGGAAGAAAGAGAGAACCATCAGCACAAGAAAGACACAACAATTGGTTGCCACCCGCATGACCCCAACCGGGGCTGGGGACAAACTGCAACCAAGGTATGTGCCCTTGGCCAGAATCAAACCCGCGACTCTTTGGTCCGAGGGCCGGCGCTGTGACCACTGAGCGAAACTGGCCAGGGCAGTGCTCTGGTGTTTTAGAAAAGGGAAACCCATAGCTCATCCTGCCAAGCAGTAGTCAGTGGAACACTCCTGGGACCCCTCTGCCCCATTTTGAGCTCTTAGACATTGTTGGTGACCTCCTTATCCTCTTTTCTGACCCCAGAGAGAGGCTCCCCTTCTACCTCAGGCACACACTGGAATTGTTTCCTGTGTAACACATGTTTGAATAAAGGAGACCCTACCTTTCCCTCGGTTTTATAAGGACTGTTAGGATGTTCAAATACACCAACCAACCAACCAAAACACACCTGGACTCGTGAAAGAACCCCAAGATGGGTACTGAAGAACTCAAATTATTAGAGCATGCAGGGAGCACAAAACTTCATGAGAAGTCCAGACTGTAGCTGTTAACACTGACCATGCAGTGGGTGTCGGGACAGCCATTCATTCATTCCAAAAAGATACCTTGAGCACCAAACAAGGGGGCCAACAGGGTCGGCTGCTGGGGATGCTGTGGTGAATAGATTATGACAGGCTTCTGCCCGTGGGTGTTTACATATCAGGGGTGCATCCCAGGAGCAGACAGAAAACGTGGGCAGAGGACAGGATGCATAGTGAAGCAGGAAACAGGTGTGGGCTAGGCCTGACCCTGTGAGAAAAATGCAAAACCACCAGAGGAGTAGCATCATCTGCTTTTTGTTTGTTTCCTTTATTGATATTAGAGAGAGGACATGAGAGGAAGAGAGAACATCAATTGGCTGCCTCCTGGATGCCCCCTACTGGGGATTGGGATCACAACCTGGGCATGTATCCTGACCAGGAATTGAACCGGCAACCTTGTTGCATTAGTTTACGCTCAACCAGTGAGCCAGGCCGGCCAGACTCATCTGCTTTTTAAAAAGTACATGAATCTGATGCTCATTGGAAGGAGAATTTGGGTCGAGTTGCTCACAAACAGAAACCCCCACCTAGGAAGAGAAACCTAGGACTAGAAATTCTGCCGATTCAAAGCAATTAAGAACGTCCTGCCCTGGCCGGTTTTGCTCAGCGGTTAGAGCGTCCACCTGCGGTCCGGAGAGACCCGGGTTCGGTTCCCGCTAAGGGCACGTACCTCGGTTGCAGTTTGACCCCAGCCCTGGTTGGTCGTGCGGGTGGCAGCCACTCGATGTGTCCCTTTCACATCGATGTTTCCCTCTCTCTTCCTCTCTCTCCCTCCCACTCTATCTGTACAAAAGATGGAGGGATGTCCTCGGGTGAGGATAAAAAAAACAAAAGAACGTCCTGCTTCCTTCTGTTACTGGGTGTTGACAATTAGTAATAAATCATCTTGCAAGGATCCAAGTTGACTTGAATTCTTTCTGCTTCCCTAGCTCAAATCTAGTGTCTTCTGATGTTCCCCCCATTTCTCCCACCTCCAGCCCATCCAGACTCCTGAGAATGACCCATCCCCACCTCAAAACTCTGGAATTCCACACCCTGAACACCAGTAACTGCAGGTTGTCTAGGGGTAGAGCCAACATTCGCACTTTCGGCTTGTCTGGTTGATTTCAGCAGCATGTGGGAAGGAGTTATCAGAGGCCTGTATCCCTGCAGTTCGCTGAGGCCAGGTGAGAAAAGGAGGGGTCGCAGATGGGGGGTGATACCTCTTAGAGCAGGGAGATAGAGGTGTGGGAGTCTGTCATGGGAAGGATGCATGTGAAGATAGCAGGAGGCTTATGAGACTGATCACTGCCTCAGATCACTGCTCAGGACGACAGACGCTGTAATGTTGAAAATAAAGCCATGCTTTGTGATGCAGACCAGGCCAGGGGCAGGATTGGAACAGAATGTGGTCAGCTGGCCTGGCTGTACTGGGTACAGGAGTAGCCTGAAGAGTAGGCACAAGCCTGGGCGAGGCAGGGGCAGCTAAGGGGTACCCTGCTGGGACATAAACTCATTGATGGAGAAGCCATCTAGAGCAGGTGAAGACACATGACATCAAGCTAGTGAGGATACTCAGTATGGCTCCCCTGTGGCCTCGGGAGGTCAAACACTAATAAAAACAACCTTTACCACCAGTGGTAGTAATAGTAACCACAGTAATGCTATCAGTCATGATGGCATGTAGGTATTACTTGCTTTTCTGTTCTTGGCAGTGTATTGTCACTTTATACACACCAACAGTTCAGTAGTCTAATAACCCATGAGGTAAGTTTATTATTCTTGTGTATCAATGAAGAAACAGGTTCAGAGAGGCCAAGGAATTTGCTCAAGTTACGTGAAGTGGTGCAACACGTAAGGGTATGAAAAGTTAAGATTGTACATCTAGAGCAACCACTGAAAAATCATGGAACGAGGTATATCTGAAAAGCCAACAGATGAGTTACCCTAAAAATATTTTTTTAATATGTTCCTATTGAATTTTTTTTAGAGAGGAGAGAGAGAGAGAGAAACATAGATTGACTGCCTCCTGCACGCCCCTTACTGGGGATTGAGCCCACAACTCGGGTATGTGCCCTGACCAGGAATCGAACCCGGATCTCTCAGTCCATGGGACAACGCTCAATCCAGTGAGCCATACCAGCTGGGCCCTAAAAATGTTTTTAATCCAAAAGAAGGTGAGAAAGGAGTGGGGAACAAAGAAAGGGGTGAGGGTTGGGGGAAAACAAAACAAATA